CTTTGCTAGGCATCCTCTGCCCCCCCCCCGCCCCCCGGAAGTGAGTACACATGCCAGGAAATAAATGAGCTCATTGTACAACTCAACTTGCTCGTTGCTGCTAGCCCAGACACCTTGTAGGTCCAGCAGCTGGCTGCCCTTGAGCCAAGCTTGCACGCTGTCCAACAGCTGAGAGGGGGTATCACAGGACACTGATTGTGGCCACTCCTAGAGGTGCCCCTTGAAGGAGAGTAGGGGCATACAGATCTGTGAGGAGCAACAGCGAACACTGCACCTCGTCTGTGTCCCTGCACCCAAGAAAAGGGAGAGGAGTCAGCTCTCGTGGTGAGGTGTCGTGGCATAGAATGAGGAGGAGGGCATGGGGTATGATGAATCTACTTTGTAAATCAACCTTTCATTGTTCATGCCCAAGATGTTCCCTGTCACGGAAATAAGAAGGTGGTGTCACTGGAAACTATGCAGAGACTCTTGACTCAGTCCTTCCTGAATTTGGGGAAGGGCCATCTGTAAGTCTAGATGCCACTCAGCACCCCCTCTGAGTGTTCCCATGGGGCAGAGGCCAGAAGAGACATCAGCAGAGGAGTGACTGGACCCACTTCCCAAGAAAGATCTAGAAACAAGTTTGGTAGTTCTGGAACTCCCCCACCCCAGAGCTTTCAGTCCTGCAGCTCCCTGATGGACGGCCTCAGGCCTGCACCCACTAATTGGTCTAACCCACCTTATTTTCCTGCCCAACACAGCTAGTACATTGTATGATTTCACATTCCTGGTGGTTCCTGCCATTGAGAAATTGGGATGACCCGATGTGCTGATAGAGTAAATTACATATCAGAATGGAAGACTTAAGTTTTCAAGTGTGTTTTAAATTTATGGAGCTGCTCCTTTATTTTTCTCACCAGCTCTCTCTCACACAGGACCCAATCTCTAGAGCAGGTAGCAGGTGCTGTTCTGCTTTGGGCCGGCCATGCTGGGGCCCCAGAGCTTCATCACCCCCTTCCTACCCATCTTTCCTCTCTGGTTCTCAGCCCTCCTAGACCTGGTCTGATTTTTCTGTTTTGTTTTTTTTTTTAAGATTTATTTATTTATGCATACAGAACTGGGGTACAGGCCAGAGGTGCAATGGTGGTGAGAGGATTCACCAGAGTTGGGAGCAGAACAGGCAGATCGACCAAGTGCACTGCTGAGGGGAGCAGTGGGCAAGACAGGAGATGCCTGCTGTGCCATGTGGGTCAGCTCTGGGGCCGGGGAGCAATCTTGCACTGAAGCGGCTGCAGCTAGCTTGCAGTACTGCGTCCTAACCCATTGTACCACCAGGAAGGGCCTGACTTTTCTGTTTTAAAAATGAAAACAGAGGATCTGAGAAGAGAAGGGACTTAGCAAAGGTTCCAAGGTCATGAGATCAAAGCGAGGTGTGCTCACTCTCTATGACTCAGATGGCACCTCTGGCCAGGGACAGGCACGGGGGACATGAAGACAAAACGTAGGTCCTCAGCCGAGGGAAACTCCAGTCTGATGATAGTGTGGGGTGAGCAGCAGTAGCCGCCTGGTGAGACCCACTGACATTGTTGAGCCCTGTGGACCTTGCACCAGCCCCAGGCTTCGCGTCCTCACATCACCCCAATGGGCGAGCGCTGCCACCCTCCCGTTACAGAGATGAAGGTTTATTTTACCAATCAATCCTTTCTTTCAGGGAAGTCTTGCACAAAACTCCAAGTAAACAAGTCAGGTAAATCAGGGTGAGCTCCTTGCTTCACCGTCTCAGAGCTTGAGCTCTCTTCTGGGCACAAGCTAAAACTCAGGGGACCCAGTTCCTGCATGTCTCCGGGAAAAAAGGGTCCGCTAGAAGCAGCAACTCCCAGCTTGTTTGTGCTCATTTTACAGCTTAGCAACCAGAGGCTTGGAGGAGCAGAAATCAACAGACTCCCAAGACATAACTCTCACTAGTGCTCCCACCAAGTCTCGTGAATCTTTTGTTATGAAACAGAAGCCTTGTATTGGCAGTTAAAGAATGCTGTTCCTCTCAAGCCACGTCTTAAGGTGGAGATTGCATGGGCGCTGCTAACCCATGCTTTCATCTCCCCCCTCACTCCCTTCCTCACCTCCAGTTCCTCCACATCACGGCTGCAGGAAGAGAATCTTACTTTAGAGAATGCATCCCCTGGGAGCCAAGTGGATGAGTGTGGCTTGAAGCTGACAGCTTCATAGTTTACCATAGGCATTCTTCGTGCCTCTCAGCTTATTTAATATAATGCCTTGCCACACCGTAACATTCCCAGGACACTTGACACTAGAAAGGACCTTTTAAGTACTCTGAAACAGAAGTTTTTATTTCAATAGCACCTTGGAGTGTATAAATGGCGCCTTGACCTTTCTGTGTGTGCTGAGGGAGAGGTCTTGAGGAAATTTAATGGCCACCCCCCTTGGGGTGGCATTTCTGAGGTGATCTGCCACCCCGGCCCCACACCCCTCCTTCTGCTGCCTCCTTCATTCATCCTACTCTTCGTCCAGCTCCATTTCCTTAGCTGGCTTTGGTATGGATTTCTCTCTTCCCTCTCCCCTTGTCTTGGTTCAGGTCCCCAGGGTCCCTCCACAACTTTTTCTAGATATAGTCATTTTTCTAGGAAATGAGTCCACTGGCAAAGATGGTCAGGTAGGTAAGTTTCAGGGGCCCAAACCTGACCCAGCTGGTCCTGCCCTTGTGAGGCTGTCAGCAGCTCCCTCAGGGGACCAATGCTGGGCCACAGCAGTGTCAACCAAACTCTGTTTCATGAGAGTCCAATTTCACAGCAGTTTCTCAAAGACAAGACTTCGTGGTCAAAGGACCAGCAAATCCTGCTCATGTCCTGTCCCCCTGCAGACATCGGACATAGTCATGTTTTTCCTGCAGCCCAGACTCCTGTGAAACTGTGTGTCACCCAAAACCTCTTTGGACATCACCTAACAGACGATGGTCCAGAGGTGGCCTTGAGATGGCTCTGGAAGCTCGCAAGTCCTTCCTGAGCACCCCTGCTGGCTCCAATCAGGGAAAGCCAAATTAGGTTTGAGCTTTGAGGGCATTCAGCAAGGCTTTTTTCATCTATACCAGAGCATTGTCAGCTGCTTGTGCTTTCTTTGGAACTAAATCGAAATGAATCAAGAGGGGGCCCATTTATGGTCTGAATATTGCATTCTTAGGGTCTGGTCAAAGGCAGACGTCAGGCCACACTCAGCCATTCTTAGAGAAAAGGATGCCACCAGGGCTTTCTGTATTTGGGGAGCAAGCCCTTCCTTATCAAACCAGCTGTCACATATTGGATTCCTCCTACAAGTGTGCCCACACATATGCATGCACCCTAATAACGTGCGCTCTCTGCTTTCTGAAACTTAGTGAACTGTGGTTTTAGTTTATTTTTAATTACTTTGTTTTTAATTAACAACGAATCCCAGTTTGTTGTTGTTTGACTGATTCATTGGTTGCCATTCCCAAGTTTTTGTTTCTCTCTACTCTGGAAAATTCCATCAGTCATTTCACAGATGAACCAAGGCTTTAGTTTGCATGAGGGCTTAAAAGCACAAAGTGCTGCCCAGGTTCGTATGGGCTAGATAGATGCATTTGCTGGGCCACCTAGCGTAATATAGCACCACAGTCTGAGGGGCTTAAACAACAGAACTGTGCAGTCTCAGCTCTGTAGCCTACCAGTTCAAGATGTCAGAAGAGTTGGTTCCATCTAAGGGCTGCAAGGATCTCTTTGGGGCCCCTCTCCTATCATTTAGTGGCTGTGTAGGAATTTTTGGTGTTCCTAGTCTCTGTCTTCATTTTCACACAGCACATACGTCTGTCCAGATGTCCCCTGGACATCTGTGTGTCCTCATAAGGGCCCACCTTTCTCCTATAAACTGAACTTATTTATCAGCCATGATTCTATTTCCAAATATCCCACATGGTTACTTGGGATGTGATACTGGGTAACTGAGGTACTGGGTTAGGGTTGGGGTTAGGAACTTGGTGGGCACATTTGGGACACACAAGTCAACCTGTGATATACCACCTAAGAAGTTCTTCTGCAGCACTTTCTAGAATTTTCTGGGAGAGCCTAGAATCACTTCAAGGCTATGTGACTAGACCAACAAAGGCTGGTAGAGAACTGAATTGAGTTCATTTCAGAAAAAACATCCTATTGTGTGTATCCCTGGGTTTTTCCCTGGGGAGAGGAGAGAAGCAGACCAGACCCTTGCTGGGAAAGCTGCAGGAGGCAGACATGTGAGTTTCATGGGGTTTTCACTAGCCACAGAAGAGGACTTCACAGAAGAGGAGACGTGTGAGCTGGGCTTGTCATGTGGTCACAGCTCAGCTGAGCTGGAGGACAGGGAGCTTAAGTCACTCTTGGGCTTAAGTAGTGCTGTCCCTTCCTCACAATATGATCTATCATCAGTGAACGTCTCTGAACTCAATGTCCTCATCTGTAAAATGGGATTAATGACAAACACCTAATTCAAAGGTTAAGTTAGAAAATCCCTGTGACATGCTTAACATCTCTCGGCGTGTGGTGATACACGTTAGCTTTTACTGTTGGCTTCTTTTTGTGAGGGTGGAATTGAGATGTAGGTGAGCTGGCTCATGCAGCAGGTGCGCAGGTCCCCACTAATGCCCCCCCTTTAGAGTCTCCAGCATGTGGGCGTTCTACCAGGTGGTGGGGGGACGTGTGACGATGGTACAGAGAAGTATCTGAGCTATTTGAAGAATAAATAGTTTGGGGCCATTCATTAGCCATTTATAGTCATTTATTTACTCGTAACTGATGACCATAGCAGTGGCAGTTTATTAAATCACATGCCCCCAGGACTCTTCCCTTGCACAATTTTAGTGGTGGACTAGCCCAACTTAGTGGAGTAGCCCACTCTAGTAATGGTTGTCCTGATGGTTCGTAGACGTACCCAGGCCATTATGTGAATGACTATTTGCTCTGAAAAACCAACTCCAAGAAGGGGTTTTCTAACATTTTTCTCATTCCGGTAGGTCATTAATCAGCACAGAAGCTCAGAAGAAGACAAAGACAAAATCTTCCACAATGTCATACAGACGAGAACTAGAGAAATACCGTGACCTGGATGAAGATGAAATCCTTGGAGCCCTAACAGAGGAAGAGCTCAGGACGCTGGAAAATGAACTGGATGAGCTGGACCCTGACGTGAGTAGGCACAAGGGGGACCTTAGTCACGGGGGTGGGGGTGCAGCCTTACCACTTGGTGAGGGATGAGCGCAGACTTCCTGAAGCTGCCACTTCCTTTAACCTTCTGTGGCAATGACATTGGAACAACACAGCCCTTATAGCCAGAGTGTGTTATGTGTGTGCATGTGTGTGTGTTGTGTTAGCCAGAGTTCTCTAAAGCAATAGAATGAATAGGATGTGTATACATGCAAAAAAATAACTCTTTTTAAAAAAGATTTATTTATGCTTACAGAACTGGGGTACAAGCCAGAGGTGTGGTGGGTGAGAGTATTCACCAGAGACAGAGTGGGGAGCAGAACAGGCAGATCGACAAAGCACACTGCTGAGAGGAGCAGCAGGCGGGTCAGGAGAGGTCTGCTGTGCCATGTGGGTCACTCCCCTGGGCGGGGATAGAACTCTTGCTGCAGTGGCATAATGTGGTGTTTTACCAGTTGTGCCACCAGGGAGAGCCCAAAATAACTTTTTTTATAAGGAATTGGTACTCATGCTTATGGAGGCTGACAGATCCCAAGAGCTGCAGTCTAACTTCCCTTTGGTAGTAAGGAGCAATCTCATGATTCAGCGGCAATAGGAGTTAAAAGTGAGAAGGTGTCAGCCTTAACTTCCAGCCCTGGGGAAGTATTGCTGTGTCTCCTGGCAGAAGAATTTTTCTGTTTGCAGCTAAGACATCCAGGCCAGCAGAGCATATGGTCACAGGAGAGGGGACAATAATTTGGCAGTGGGTCATTAACGGCAGCAGTGAATGGTGTCACTCTCGTTTCCACCCTTGATTCCTGGACCTGGTAATGCAGCAGTCAAGAAGCAGCACACCCATCAGGCGCTGATTCAGAGCACACTGAGCTTTCTGAGAAACCCAACCTGGCCCTGCAAGGAACTGCCACCCAGTGGCACTGTGAGTGAGTCTGCAAAAGCCCCTTCCACCATTATATCAAGCAAGCTGCTTCAGTATGGTGGGGCTTACATGTCATGGAATGAATTAGCAGAGAAAATAAGAACTAGAATTCCTTTTACTTGTCTGATATTTTTACATGTCATTGTCAACAAATTTAAAAAGTGTGTTGGATGCTCTGAGTTTGCCTGTGCAGTCAGAATCACAAGAAACAGGAGTTTCCCTGGTCATATCTGCACAGAGCTATGGGCAGGGTGCAGGGTTGGGGATTCCTCCCTGAGGTCCACCCAATGGGGACTTTCATCTATTATCCCAATCCCAGGTAGCCAGGGCAGTGCCAAGTACAGAGAAGGTGGATAACAGATGTTATTTAATTAATTGAATTTTCCACTTGAGATGTTTTTTCATTAGAAAAGGAATTTTTTATGCCCTTCTTATAAGACCTGTCAGCCTTCCCCTCTAGTTGAACAGTGATCCTAAAGAAAAGCATGCTTCTGTGCCATTTCACTAATGCTCAAGTGATGACAGCTAATGTTGAGGGAGAATAGTTTAGCAGGGAAAGTGGGAGACCAGACTTAGTGTCCAGTTCCAGCCTGGCCCCTCCCCTCTGCTGCAGGCAACCTTGGGCCAGTTGTGATCCTTCCCCAGACCTCAGTAACCATAAAATGATCAGTGGTTGGTGTGTTCAGGGCTAAACTCCCATGGGTGTATAACGTGGTCTTATCTACAGATTCAAATAAATGGCTTGTTTCTAGATAACCCAGATTGAGGGCTCCTAGGTCCCAGGTGCCAGATAACTCTAGCAGTGTGCCCTCATCTCACTGGTCATAGCCAGGAGAGGACAGTCCCTGCTCAGGCTGCTCAAGCGGACTCAAAGGCAGCGTTGCAAGGAATCTTGGGCCTCCTCATGTTTCCTCTGTATCATGTCTTCCCCTTTGCCTGCGTTTCTGTAAACACAAGTATGTAGGTAAGAAACCATCAAGCTTCCAGGTTTTTTGCTGTAAAGTTTTTCTGTTCTAATGCTACCCTAGACCACATGTATAGCAAGCATCCTCAAAAAGGGAAGACCAAAGTGTGCTGTGGCTAATTCTAATTACCCAATAAACACCACTCAGTTACCCACCCACCATCCCTGTGTTGGGGACCCTGGTAGGGGTGAAGCATCATAATGTACTAGGTCCTCAACAGGAGCCCCAGGAACTTGGAGACGTGACAAATTCTTACTGGTGGGAGGCTTCACGGGGAGGTAATCTTGCTGCTGGACCTGGATTTCTAAGTCCAGAAGGAAGGAAAGTGGTGGCAGGAACCTCAGTGTGACAGTCTCCCAGGAGGGTTCAGTGACCCCAAAGGGGGGTTGCTTAGACAGCTGAAGAGCTTACACTTTTTCAGTGGGCCCAGCGAGCCTTTGCGAGGCAGCGGCTGGGGGGAGTGTTGGTTTTGAGAGTTAACCCTAGGGATAGATGGACTGGAGAAGGTGCCAGGGAGCCCGGTGAAAGGGGCTCACCCTTTAAGGTAGATGGGACCCACCTACATCTGCCTGGCTGGTGGTGGTTTTTTTTTTTTTTTTCCGAAGATAAAGAAGGGCCCCTGCCTCTCTCCATAACCCTTCTGCCAGCAGAATCATTGCTGTTCCCAGAGAGAAGAATGGTAGCAGGGACACAGGCTTGTTGCCTCAGGCTTTCTGGCCACTGGATGGGGATGAGGTTAGATTGGGGTGTGGCTGCAAAGTGGGCAGGTGATGAAGAGAGGGTCAGAGCCAAGCAGCAAACATGGTGTGGGAGTGAAGGGCTGGAGGAGGGGGGTGGGAGGTGCTCAGCCCTGGGGGAGGGGCAGGGAGGAGCGCAATTTTACTTCCAAACTGGCAGACAGCTGTAGCCCCCATAGCCTGCTCCCAGCCTTCCTCCCCAGAGATTGACAGGAAGTCTGTTGTGCTCCCTGGAGGGTTCAGAACCTGGGACTGAGAGCACTTAGGAGCCTCAGGTTGCAAACGGGCATGTGCCTTCTACCCTGGCAGGAGCAAGGTAAATGTGTGTTTGGATTTAGAGTAGGGTTGAGCCATCTGAGACCTGTGCTTCTTAGACCACTGTGGCTTCAAAATGGACATCTTCCAAGAACCCTTTTCTCTTGAAATTCAAAGAAAAGAGCAATTGGAGAAACTTAGGAGATAAGGGGACCTCTGGGCTTTTGTCCCACCCACAATCAGCCCCTTCATTGCCTTGTCTCTGTTACCTGATTTGCAAGTCAGTATGTGCATTTTGAAAGATCTGGTGGGCCGCTCTTCTTTCTGAGAGCACAAACATTCCAGCTTAAGTTTCACCCGCCCTTGGCCCATGTTCTGAAATCACAGCGCAGGGAGAGGCCAAAGGTATGCAGACCATGGCACCAGCCAGCACTGGGGAGCAGGGGGCAGAGACCAGCCGGTGCCCACCCGGCCTCTTACAGAGCAGGAACTGAGCCCAGAGGAAAGGAGCTTGCTCTTGGTTACATGTCCAAGTCAAACCAGACCAGAACCAGGTCCGTAACCACTACCCTTGCATGGGCCCCGTACCCCACCTGTTCAGTGTTTGGTTGGAGAAGTGCTTGTGACACTTTCCATGTAGGCACCATGCTAAACACTTTGAAATATTAATTCATTCAGCCGTCATCATGACCCTATGATGCAGCTGTTACCACCCCCAGCTTACAGGCAGGAAAACTGAGAGGGGGTGGTGGTGACGATTCCAAGTCCCCATGAGGAGGCAGGGGCTGAACTCTGAGGTGCTCTAAGGGTTCCCCTCTAGCCACACCACTGTCAGGCTTGTTGGCAGTCCTCAGGAAGATGTAGTGGGTGCCCCAGATGTTCCCCAGTTTCTGTAGTTGCAGGGGGGACCATAAGCAGAACCTGTCTCCTTTCTTCCTGGAAACCACCTGAAATGTAGAAGCCGTGTTCATTCTGGCTCTGCTCCCAACTGACGCACATGCTTTTCCCTTTCGGAGCTCAGTTTCTCTACCTATAAACTGGACAGAGTTGGCCTAGATGCCCTCTGAAAGTCCTTCCACTTGCGACCAGTCTTTTTAACTGACCGCAGTTACCCCTTTCTGTGATGCAATTGTGAACTCCCAGTGTCAGGTGACAGCATAGAGTATTTGTAGTTGGAAAGCAGCTTTGTTTATAGCAAGGGATTCCAAAATTGTGCACATTTGAAAAAAGAAAAAAAGTCCCTGAAACTTTCTCTCTCTTACTCCTTGGACTGGAAAAACTGGAGCTTATCATGAGATTGTTGCACTTGGACTCCCGAGGGAGAGGAATGCTCCCTGTGCTAAAAGTATCCACTGTTGACTGATTCCCCAAGAGGATATGCCCTTTTTCCTCTCTCCAGAGTTAAGTAGATGCTGCTCTGAAGCTGAGCCAGCTCCTCTGTTCAGATTGCCTGGTGCTGGGCCGTGGAGGAAACAGGCACAGGAGAGAGTGAGGATGACAGGCACTAGCAGTGATCCGTGCAGGGAGCCATGCACAAGCTTTCAATAGATGAGGGCTATTTCCAGTGTGTGTTGAGGGCAAAGCCTGTGGATCATCTCGTTTAGTTCTCTGAGAGGCTCACTTATTAGCCCCATTTTAAAGATGGGAAAACTGAGGCTTAGAAAGAAGTGACATGCCTGAGATGAACCCCAGGTAGTACTGGCATCCCAACCCAGACAGTCATGACCCCACTGGCAGCCTGTGCAGTTAATCATCCCATGTGTGCAGGTCAGGGACAGCCTAGAAAGGAACTGGTTGGGGGAGGGGCAGGGAGCGGGGGGCATCATCAGCCAATTGTTTTTTTCCAATTTGGTTTCCTCTGAAGTTGTTCTGCTATTTCCAACATCTTTTTCTTTTTTTAATAATACAGTAATTTATTTTTTACATCATTTTTGTGCTTTTTCCATCTCAATTGTAATCCCTGTGGGCCTCCCACCACCAAATCACCTGTATGCCATCACCATAGTCCAGTGCACTTCCCTCCCCCCACTGTTTTTGATCCCATTCCCCACTCCATCCCCGTAAAATGTCGCTGGTGTATAGTTGCTCATTACTATTACTATTTTCTCC